TGTATCACCCAGGGACTCCAGAGCAGCAGGAGCCCGTCCAGTTATTCTTTTCATTTAGAACCAGGTCTGGTCTTTTCTACTCGTGGAAGGGGTAAGTTTTCTACCAGAAGAACAATGATAGAGCAGATCATGATAATCTGACTCTAAGTCGTGATTAACGGGATTCTTGGAATCACTGTCACCATATGGACACTTTCCCTTTAGGTGAATGAGGATTCTGAGAACAGCTGTTCCCAAAATGGAGATGGTTTGTGCTAGAAGGGCCACTGACAGCCTTGGTTTTATTTAATTTCTGCCAGTCTTCAAGATAAGTTGGCTTGTTAGGGGCATGAAGTGGTTTATTCTCTTGTTTTCTGGCCACTGTAGGCACTGGGATAGTCAGGAGGTACACAGAGTAACAGATCATGAATTCCTGGTGCATAATTGAGTCCAGCTTTTCATGGGAGATGGTCTAGAATCAGAGTTATTATGGAAACTATTATCCAATAGGGTTGCACTTAGGGAATAAATCTGGAATCACAGGCTCTGTCTGCTGCAGACTTATGCATCATCCTGATAATAGTGTCCTTTGCCAGGAAAGCAAGAGTTTGGTTCACTTTTAATTTTTATTTTTTTTACAAAACGTCATTGAATTGTATAAAAACGATACATGAATATTCTAAAAGAAAATCCAAACAGTATTAAAAAAGCATTAAGATTCAGATATTAGAGTAGTCTTTATTGATTGATTGCATTTAATTGTGGAAATAATATTTGAAATGTGGCATATTTTGGCTTACTATGATCAAAAAAGACTTTTTTTTTTTTTTTTAGATTATAGAGTAAATAATGAAAGACATTTTTATTATTGAAGACAGGTAACTTTTGCCATGTATATGTGAAGACTGCATTTGTAGAATCAGATTAAAAATAGATATCCCCCCCTCTCACGGACATTGAAAATAAAGTTAATAGCTAACTTTGTCATGTGATGTATTGTTTGTTTGTTTGCTTGTTTTTCTATTTCTTGGCAGCTTAGCTGTAAAAGAGAATGTGTTTGTTCCAGTCAAATACCCCTAATACCCCATGGAGACTCCTTGGCAAAGTCTTAAATTATGCTTCAGTCTGCTCTTCTGTTAAATGACTCCCCCTCCCCCTTAATCTCAAAGTTCCTGATCTTAACAAAGGTATATTTTATAGACTAGCTATGGGACTTTGGCCAAGTTATTTAACCTCTCTAAATCTCTGTTTCTGTAAATGGAGCTAATAATAGTATCTAGCTCCTTAAGAATAAATGAGATAATGTATGCAAAGCTTTTGGCACGGTGTTTAGTATAAGTACTCAATGTTAGCCACTAGAAAGGTTATTGTTATGGTTATGATGATGAATATTACACTGGCAGGCCTAATTTAGTGCATTTTACTTCATATTTATACCCTAAAATGAGGTATAAATCCACATTTCACATAGCATGAGGCCTATGCTAATGATTGATTTTCACCTTTATAATCCTTCCAATGGCCCTGTGAAGTACGGAGTGCCAGGATTTTTATATCTCTTCAACTATCAAGTGCTTGTGCTATAAAAGTAATTAGGACCCCTGTGATTCCTGCCCTCAAGGAGCTCATGGTCTAGGAAGCGACAGGCCTATAAATGCCTCAGTTGTTGTTAGGTGCTGAGTCAGTTCCGTCTCATAGCAACCCTGCGTACAACAGAACAAAACACTGCCCGATCCTGCGCCATCCTCACAGTCATTGCTATGTTTGAACCCATTATTGCAGCCACTGTATCAGTCTGTCTTGTTGAGGGTCTTCCTCTTTTTTGATGACCCTCTACATTACCACGGATGATGTCCTTCTTCAGGGACTGGTCCCCCCTGATAACGTGTCCAAAGTAGGTGAGATGAACTCTTGTCATCCTCGCATCTAAGGAGCATTCTGGCTGTCCTTCTTCCAAGACAGATTTGTTTGTTTTTCTGGCAGTCCATGGGATATTCAGTATTCTTTGCCAACACCATAATTCAAAGGCATTAATTCTTCTTCAGTCTTCCTTATTCATTGTCCAGCTTTCACATGCATATAAGGCGATTGAAAACACCATGGCTTGGATCAGGCGCACCTTAGTCCTTAAAGTGACATCTTTGCTTTTTAACACTTTAAAGAGGTCTTTTGCAGCAGACTTGCCCAATGCAGTATGTCGTTTGATTTCTCGACTGCTGCTTCCATGGGCATTGATTGTGGATCCAAGGAAAATGAAATCCTCAACAACTTCAGTATTTTCTCCATTTATCACAATGTTTATTGGGCCAGTTGTGAGGATTTTTGTTTTCTTTATATTAAAGTGTAATCCATACTGAAGGCTGTAGTCTTTGATCTTTATCAGTAAGTGCTTCAAGTCCCCTTCACTTCCAGCAAGCATATCGCAGCTTGTTAATGAGTCTTCCTCCAATCCTGATGCTGCATTTTTCTTCATATAGTCCAGCTTCTCAAATTATTTACTTGCATATAGATTGAGTAAGTATGGTGAAAGGATACAACCCTAACACACAACTTTCCTGATTTTAACCCATGCAGTATCCCCTTGTTCTGTTCAAACAACTGTCTCGTGGTCCTCATGAGCACAATTAAGTTCTGGAATTCCTGTTCTTCTCAATGTTATCCATGATTTGTTATGATCCACACGGTGGAATGCCTTCATGTAATCAATAAAACACAGGTAAACATCTTTCTGGTATTCTCTGCTTTCAGCCAAGATCCATCTAACATCAGCGGTGATATCCCTGATTCCACGTACTCTTCAGAATCTGGCTTGAATTTCTGGCAGTTTCCTGTTGATGTACTGCTGCAACTGTTTTTGAATTATCTTCTGTAAAATTTTACTTGCATGGGATATTGATGATATTGTTTGATAATTTCCTCGTTTTTTTAGACCACCTTTCTTTGAATGGGCAAATATGGATCTTTTCCAGTTGGTTGGCCAGGTAGCTGTCTTTTAATTTCTTGGCATAGACGAGTGAGCACGTCCAGCGTTGTATCCATTGGTTGAAGTATTTCAATTGGTATTCTGTCTATACCTGGATCCTTGTTCTTCGTCAATGCCTTCAGTGCAGTTTGGACTTCTTCCTTCAATATGATTGATTCTTGATCATGTGCTACGTCCTAAAATGGCTGCATGTTGACCAATTCTTTTTGGTACGGTGAGTCTGTGTATTCCTTTAATCTTCTTTTGATGCTTCCTGCTTCGTACAGCATTTTGCCCATAGAATCCTTCAGTATTGCAACTTGAGGCTTGAATTTTTTCTTCAGTTCCTTCAGCTTGAGAAATGCCAAATGTGTTCTTCCCTTTTGGTTTTCTAATTCCAGGTCTTTGCACATTTCATTATAATATTTTACTTTATCTTCTCAAGCCGCCCTTTGAAATCTTCCGTTCAGCTCTTTTATTTCATCATTTCTTCCTTTCGCTTTAGCTACTCTATGTTCAAGAGCAACTTTTAGAGTCTCTTCTGACATCCATTTTGATCTTTTCTTTCTTTCCGGTCTTTTAAATGACCTTTTGATTCCTTCATATATGATGTCCTTGATGCCATCCCACAACTCGTCTTGTCTTGTATCGTTAGTGTTCAGTGTGTCAAATCTATTCTTGAGATGGTCTCTAAATTCAGGTGGGATATACTCAAGATTGTATTTTGACTTTCGTGGACTTTGGTTTAAATTTCTTCCGCTTCAACTTGAACTTGCATATGAGCAATTGATGGTCTTTTCCGCAGTAAGCCCCTGGCCTTGTTCTGACTGATGATATTGAGCTTCTTCATCATCTCTTTCCACAGATGTAGTCAGTTTGATTCCTTTGTATTCCTTCTGGTGAGATACACATGTAAAGTTGGTGTTTATGTTGTTGAAAGAAGGCATTTCCAAGGAATAGATCATTGATCTGGCAAAATTCTATCATGTGATCTCCATCATCGTTTCTATCACCAAGACCAACTACTATTACCGACTACTGATCCTTCTTTGTTTCCAGTTTTCACATTCTAATCACCAGTAATTTATCAATGCATCTTGATTGCATGTTTAATCAATTTCAGACTGTAGAAGTTGATTAAAATCTTCAGTTTCTTCATCTTTGGCATTAGTGGTTGGTGTGTAAATTTGAATAGTACCCATATTAACTGGTCTTCCTTGTAGGCATATGGATATTATCCTATCACTGGTAGCTTTGCACTTCAGGATAGAGCTTGAAATGTTCTTTTTGATGAAGAATGTGATGCTGTTCCTTTTCAATTTGTCATTCTTGTCATAGTAGACCATATGATTGTCCAATTCTAAGCAGTCAATATCAGTCCATTTCAGCTTACTAATGCCTACAATATTGATCTTCAAGCTTTCCGTTTCATAACTTCCAGTTTTCCTAGAATCATACTTCATACATTCCACGTTCTCATTACTAATGGATGTTTGTAGCTGTTTCTTATTTTGAGTCATGCCACATCAGCAATTGCCGATCCCAAAAGCTTTACTCCATCCATGTCATTAAGGTCGACTCTACTTTGAGGAGGCAGCTCTTCTCTAGTAGTATTTTGAATGCCTTCCAACCTGAGGGGCTCATCTTCTGGCACTATATCAGACAATGTTCTGCTGCTATTCATAAGATTTTCACTGGCTATTTTTCAGTAGATCGCCAGGTCCTTCTTCCTATTCTGTATTAGTCTGGAAGCTCTGCTGAAACCTGTCCACCATGGGTGACCTTGCTGGTATTTAAAATACTGGTGGTATATCTTCCAGCATCACAGCAACATGCAAGCCACCACAGTATGACAGACTGATGGATGAGTGGTAGACAAACTGACAGACTAGGAGTGGGGAATAGTGATCTTGGCAGAGGCATGTGAACAGGGAACCCAGAGTGGTGCACGTTCTGTAATTCAGAGGATTTGCAATGGGGAATAGGGGGTCCCATCTCTAACATGCACATCCCCCTTCCTTGACTGGCACTGACCAGATCTTTTCCCCACTTTGGTTAGTCAGTTGCAGGGCTGGGACATATTATGATGGATCACAAGAACGCTGCATTTTATGTCCAAATGGAACTTTTCAAAATGAAGAAGGACAAATCACATGTGAACCATGCCCAAGACCAGAAAATCCTGGGGCCCTAAAGACTCTGGAAGCTTGGAATGTGTCTGAGTGTGGAGGTAAGGATGCCATCTGTCCCTTCTTACTCCTCCAATCTCCAAAGTCATTGTTTAGACAGAAGCCATAAGTGGCATCTCAAGGACTCCAGCTGATGGACACTACACTATGGGCTTCCTTGGAGCAGGGACCATATTGGGTTCATTTTTGGCTTTCCAGTGCCTAGCTCAATGCCTGGCACATGCTTGAGCAAATAAACGAAGATGTGGTGGAATACATGGGTGGGGGGAAAAGTGTAAATGAGGTGATTGCATGCTTTATTCATTGTAAATATATAACACTCTGAGACCTGAGTGATCTCCCAATGTGTAGGGACTCTGAATGTGTTAAAATGGGGAAAATAGGTCTGTTTTTTCTTTTTTTTTCCAGCTTTGATCTCAAATTCATAGCTTGTTCATTAAAAAAAGAAACAAAAAACCATCTGGTTGTTTTTTAAAAACTGGGACCTCCTCCGTGAAGTTTGTAACCATCTCTTATAAAATGTTAACTCCGAAACCAAGCTAAGTTAGGTTCTGTGGGCTTCTTTTCTATTTGTTTTATTATTAAATGTCTTCTTTCTTATTAAACAGAAGAAGGGCCAGTTGTATCGATGCTCTGTGGGCTCAAATGGAAGGTGTGATCTGCCCCGGAAATTTGTACGTGATGTACACGGCAGAGTGCACAGAAACCCCCTCTATCCCACCCTTCTCCTTCAAGGACTCCCAGGCCCAGTTTTATTTCCCACCTAAATGACTCCAAGCTCAGCTGCAGGACTGTTTCTGGTTTATAAAATCAGATCCTCAGATTGAGTAACTCCCACAATACCTTTGTCCTGCCGTGAAACCCCAGAACTAACTGCAGGTTGATAAGGAGAAACTTTTTTAGCATCTGTTCACCCTTGTATATGTCCTTGTTAAGATGTATTTATAGTTGATAATATTAGTAATAATAATAATTGCTAATATTTATTGAATACTTACCTATGTGAGGCATCATGGCTAAGTATATTACATAAGTTATTCATTTAATCACTACAACAACTTTATGAGGTTAAGTGACTCATTCAAAGTCACACAGCCAAAAGGTGGAGAATTTGGAATCAGAAGCCAGGTCTGACAGACTCCAGGATCCTCCCTTGAGTATGTGTTCTTTAACTGCCATTTTATCTATAACTTATGGGTAGAAGACCATTAAAATAATAGAAGAGAGAAGATTAGGAACACAAAAGAGAACAGATTTTTATAGCATCTTTCAATGACAAGCTAACTCCTGAGGAACATGTGCTTTTAAAAACCTCTTTACTGTTTATGGCTGTGCTTCTTGTCCTAAATGTAAAAAAAGAAAATCATTGCTTAAATTAAATGCCACTGGGTCCCTCCGCCAATGCGAATTGAATTGGTTGGATTTAGTAGACAATTGAGGTAGGCCAGGACACTTCCCAGTGTAAGGAGATGTAACTTAGTACATACAATTGGTGAAGCAGGGAAGACTCTTCCAGTCACTTTTATAGCCCTAGGATGTAATCAGCTGGGTGAGGGTGTGCAAAATTGATTGATGACCAAATTGATCCAGAGCAGAGAACTCTTTTCTCTAGGGGCTCCTGCGTTGCAGTGGGTGCCTGGGCAGTGTGCAGACCTATATTTTAGAAGTAGCTGACATTTGACTCCTTGGTTTCCATCTTGCACTGTGCTGTGTGTCCCAGTGTGTAAATAGCAGGCCATCACATGCCACCTACCCAGGGTCAGTGGCAGGGCAGAGCTGACTGTTGGTGTTCTTTTCTCACTGAGATGGGAGCTGCGATCAGCATAGGGTAGCAGGGCCTGAACATGGTCTGATCTTATCTGCAGAGAGGTGGGAAAGGGTCTGCTTGGGAAGCCTTGCTCACCTAGAGCCATTGCTCTCCCCAGGTCTGTGCCAAACTGGTGAATATTCCACGGATGGCTTTGCCCCCTGCCAGCTCTGTCCACTGGGCACATTCCAGCCTGAAGCTGGCCGCACTTCCTGCTTCCCCTGTGGAGGAGGCCTCCCCACCAAATACTTGGGAGCCACTTCCTTCCAGGACTGTGAGACCAGAGGTGAGGATTGGCAGCTTGCCTTTTTCTAGAACTGAATTTCCCTTTTGAGCATCATGGAGTCTGGTAGAGCTCCAATCAGGCCCAGCCCAGAGGTAACCTGTGTGGTGCCTCAGAAGCTGGGAGATCAGGTCCCCAGATCCATCCACCCCTGCAGGATGTGCAGGGAACGTGAGAACTCCCTGAACACGGTCTTCCTCTAGCCACCTGCGCCCCTCTGGACTGGGCCTACTAGAGGGATGATCAGGGATAGATGAGCAGGTTTTGTACACAGGAATCCTCGGCTCTTTCCTTCAAGCCTTGCTCCACCCCAGTATCCTTACCCAGAACTTCCCCATCCACTACAGGCCCTATCTCTCGTCTAGAACCCCACTCCCAGCTGCCTCTTCCCAGGGAAAAAAAACAAGTTGCCATCAAGTCAATTCTGACTCACGTTGATCCCATGTATGTCAGAGTAGAACCATAAGGTTTTCAATGGCTGATTTTTTGGAAGTAGCTCTCTTTCTTCTGAGGCACCTCTGGGTGGACTTGAACCTCCCACCTTCCAGTTATTAGCCAAGCACATTAACCATTTGCATCACCCAGGGACGCCAAGGAGCCCACCTCTAAGCCCAATATCAGTTTTGCATCTCCTCAATATTCACAAATATGCTCTACATTACGACTTGAGTTGTGATCATTTATGCCGGTCTCTGCATGAGCAATAAATTCTTTAAGGATCCACATATACCTTGTTCCCTTTGTATTTTTCTCAGTGTCGTGAGTCACAAGTTCCGTCCTCCCCCACCCTAACCTGGCTATTTAGGGAATTAAGTGTTGATTAGCCCCAGATTGGTAGGAAAGCACAACTTTATTTGGACATACAGTTTATTTAATGAGCTATAAAATGTTTTTGTATTGCTTTTGTTTTGGTAAAAATAAAGTCTTTTTTTTTTTTTTTATTCTCTCCACTCTCGCCTACCCCCACAGTTCAATGTTCCCCTGGACACTTCTACAACACCACAACTCACCGGTGTATCCGTTGTCAAGCAGGAACATACCAGCCTGAATTTGGAAAAAGTAATTGTATTTCCTGCCCAGGAAATACCACAACTGACTTTGATGGCTCCACGAACATAACCCAGTGTAAAAGTAGGTCTCTCTCTAAGGCAAGTGCCTGGATCCAGCTCGAAGCGAGGGGTCCCAGGTTCACTCAGAATCATGTAGATGCTGTTAGAGGGCTGCTGGCTCTCGACTGTGCAGATTAGCTCTGAAGGAGAGCAGCTTGACCCACAGGCCCTTACCTTTATTGAAGTTGGCTTCTTCTCCAGACACAATTGTCTTAATTTCTTCCCTGTGGCATAATTTCAGTTCAGTCCTGTTCACCAAGCATTGTTTGAGGACCTATTATGTGCTGGGCAGTTTGCTGGGTACTTGATTGATGCCACGCAGAGTGCAAGCCGTGGGGATCACAAAGGAAAGAACAGTGAACTATCTGGCAAGATGAAGGAAGGCTTCTAGAAGGCATGAGAAGGTTTTGATGGAGAAGGTAGGGGGAGAGTAGGAGAAAGGGCTATGTGCCTGAGAGAGCAGCTGCAGGGAAGCACAGACTCAGGAAAATGAAAGATGTTTCTGGAAGAAACCTGAGCATAGAATGTGCTGAAGGGAGTCTGAGGCAAACCGAGGGGGGAAGCCTTGAATGGCATGCTAAGGAGTTTGGTTTGCATTTTATAAGAATGTGGGAGCAAATCATTTAAGGACTTTCTATGTTTGTTTGTTTTTAGCATTGTGGAAAATTCTCTAGTGAAGTCCAAAAGTAAATCTCAGCTAACTCAGTATCATTAAGCCAGCAATCAAGGAGAGGACGGAGACCTCCTTAAACTAGAGAAGTTTGGAGTTGAAAGGAGCAGTGAATCACTTGAATTTTATGATGGGAAAGTTATCTAGTTTTCTCTCTATCCCAATGAAGGCAGATTTTTTTTACAGCATCTTTATAAGTAGCTTTCTAGTGTCTTGTTGAATGCCTGCTGTGACAAGAACTCACTACCTCTCATGATACCCTCGTCTGTTGGTAGATTAGACTTCGGGGATACTCACAGTGTTAGAAAATTCTTCCCCATAGCAACCTCCATGGCTCTCCTTTCCCACTCTTTTCTTCCAAGAAGAAAAGCCTGTTTATTTTTTTCTACTTGTTGTGTGCTGTCAAGTCAATTCCAACTCACAGCAACCCTATAGGAAAGAGTAGGGTTTCAAAGGCTGTAATCTTTATGGAAGCAGATTGCCACATCTTTCTTCCTCAGAGTGGCTGGTGAGTTCAAACTGCCAGTCTTTTGGTTAGCAGCCGAGGGCTTAACCACTGCGCCACCACAAACAAACAGAAAACAACCAATTGCCTTTGAGTCAATTTCGACTCTTGGCGACCCCATGTGTGCACAGTAGAACTGCTCCATAGGGATTTCAAGACTCCAGCCTTCTGGAAGCAGATCTCCAGGCCTGTCTTCCAAGACACCTCTGGGTGGGTTTGAACTGCCAACCTTTCGGTTAGCAGCCAAGCACTTAACTGTTTGCACCACCCAAGGACTCCATGGAATAATAAATCCAAAATAATAATAAGAGAGGAAAAAATAATCCCTTCACTGCCTTCTCTTGTACAAGTTTACATGACAGTTTTAAACAATAAGCTCTTTGAGGGTAAGGAGTGTGTCTTTGTCTTTCCTGAACTGCCAGAGCATTTGATAACTGTGAGATGAGTGGGGAGTCGATGAATGAAGACACAGCTGAGGTAGTGTGTGAGGGGGGAAGCATGCGAGTGCACTTTGCCTTTCGTACCAGAAGTGAGTACCCAGCATGCTCTGTACCGACTGATAGCTAATTGACTTCTCTTCCCCACTCAAAAATAAAATGTGGTCTTCACTAGAGACAAGAAGTGGAAGAATATGGCTGTCATTTTCTTTATCAAATGTCCCTAAGAAAGGATCAAATATTCTCAAGTGAACAGTGACCTCTGTTATCCCTATTTTGACAGACCTAGAAGTTCCCCTGGCACTTGGACTTTGTAAACAAAATATTGAAAGCTAACGGTGTCCTTTTGTTTCACATATACTTGCCCCTAACCTTGTATACCTTCAAACTAATTAGAAACAGAGAGTTGAACTCTGTGTAGGAATTTAATGTAGTTTGGTTTCCACAGGGGGCTCTGGGCACTACAGGACAGATTCGTCCCTGTGACAGTGTCATTTGAATGTGCCATTCCTCCATGGTGATAGGGATGCTGTGGTTCTCCTCAGCCAAGCTGGTGGTGGTCCTGACAGAGGGACAACAGTGTTGTACCTTTATAACTCATGGCATTTCCTCTTTCAGACAGAAGATGTGGAGGGGAGCTGGGAGATTTCACCGGATATATCGAATCCCCAAACTACCCAGGCAATTACCCAGCCAACGCTGAGTGTACGTGGACCATCAACCCACCCCCTAAGCGCCGCATCTTGATTGTGGTCCCTGAGATCTTCTTGCCCATAGAGGATGACTGTGGAGACTACCTGGTGATGCGGAAAACCTGTGCGTCTCAACCGTGTGCTCCCCTCCCCCCTAAGGCCAGCTGGGAAACCCCCTTTCCTGTTGACCTGCTTCCCAGGCTTTAAATATGAAAAGGAGGCCTAGAATGTCACCTCTGTATTAGAACAGAGATGGGACACAAGTTTATAGAGTTTGCCAAGAAACAAAATTTAAACTAAAACCACATGGGCAGCCCTCTGTGGAACCCTAGAGGTAGTGGTCCTTTAGGTCATTCTTCCCCTCTGTGCTCACTGAGGTGTGTTGGACCCTCTTCCACAAGGACACAGAAAGCCAGTGAAGCTCATGTGATGCTAGCCCCAGACCCTTGCCTCATCCTGGGCAGCAACTGTGGCTTGGGGACTGACTAAGATCAAGGGCATGGTCCAGCCAAGAGGGTGCTACTCCTCGCATCCTGACCCATGGCCCAGTGTCCTTAAAGGGACACTGCCACCAACACAGCGGCAGTGTAGTGAGTGGGCTCTGCAGCCAGATTGCCTGGATCTGATTCCCAGCTCCACCTGTCATTAGTTCTGTGATCTTGAGCATATGTTTTTTTGCTTTTTTTTACCGTGCTTTAGGTGAAAGTTTATAGCTCAAGTTAATTTCTCATACAAAAATTTATACACGTATTGTTTTGTAACATTAGTTGCAATCCCCGTAATGTGACAGCACACTACACCTTTCCACCTTGGGTTCCCTGTGTCCGTTCAATCAGTTCCTGTCCCTTCTTGCCTTCTCATCCTGCCTCCAGACTGGAGCCACCCATTTGCTCTTGCATATCTGATTGAACTAAGAAGCACACTCCCCACGAGTATTATTTTTTGTTTTATAGTCCTGTCTAATCTTTGTCTGAAGAATGGGCTTCAGGAATGGTTTTAGTTCTGGGTTAACAGAGAGTCCAGGGGCCATAGTTTTGGAGGTTCCTCCAGTCTCTGTCAGACCATTAAATCTCGTCTTTTTACTAGAATTTGAGTTCTGCTCTGCACTTTTCTCCCACTCCATCCAGGATTCTTTGTCTTGTGTTCCGTGTCAAGGTGGTCATTGGTGGTAGCTGAGCACCATCAAGTTTTTCTGGTCTCAGGCTGATGGAGTCTCTGGTTTATGTGGACCTTTTAACTCTTGGGCTAAATTTTCCTTGTGTATTTGGTGTTCTTCATTCTCCTTTACTCCGATTAGGTTGGGACCAATTGATGCATCTTAGATAGCCACTCCAAGCTTTAAGACCCCAGATGGCATTCACCAAAGTGGGATGTGGAATATTTTCTTAATAAACTTTGTTATGCCAATTGACCTAGATGTCCCCTGAAACTATGGTCTCCAGGCCCCATCTCCAGCTGCTCTGTCCCTCAAAGTGTTTGGATGTGTTCAGGAGACCTCTTAGCTTTTGTTCTGATCCAGCTGTGCTGACTTCCCCTGTATTGTGTGTTGTCCTTCCCTTCACCTAAGATGATCCTTGTCTACTATCTAGTTAGTGAATTCCCCTCCTTCTCCCTCCCCACCCTCATAACCATCAAAGAATGCTTTCTTCTGTGTTTAAAACTTTTCTTGAGTTACTGTAATAGTGGTCTCATACAATATTTGTCCTTTTGTGACTGACTCATGCTGTGAGATGTTTCGTGGATTCATCGTTCTTTATTGTTGTGTGGTATTCCATTCTGTATATGTACCATAGTTTGTTTATCCATTCATCTGTTGATGGGCACCTAGGTTGTTTCCATTTTTTGCTATGGAAATAAACAATGCTGCAATGAACATGTTGTTTTTGTTGTTAGATGCTGTTGAGTTGATTCCGATTCATAGCGACCCTATGTACAACGGAACGAAACACTTCCAGGTCCTGCACCATCCTCACAATTGTTGTTATGCTTGAGCCCATTGTTGCAGCCACTGTGTCAGTCCATCTCGTTGAGGGTCTTCCTCTTTTTTGATGACCCTGTACTTTACCAAGAATGATATCCTTCTCCAGGGACTGATCCCTCCTGATAACACGTCCAAAGCATGTGAGACGTAGTCTCGCATCCTTGCTTCTAAGGAGCATTCTTGTCATACTTCTCCAAGACAGATTTCTTCGTTCTTTTGGCAGTCCATGGTATATTCACATTCTTCTTCAACACCACAATTCAAAGGTGTCAATTCTTCTTCTTCGGTCTTCTTTATTCATCATCCAGGTTTCACATGCATATGAGGTGACTGAAAACACCGTAGCTTGGGTCAGGCACACCTTAGTCTTCAAGGTGACATCTTCGCTTTTCAACACTTTAAAGAGGTCTTTTGCAGCAGATTTGCCCAATGCAATGTGTGTTTTGATTTCTTGACTGTTGCTTCCATGGATATTGATGAACATGGGTATGCATGTATCTATTCATGTGACAGCTCTTATTTCTCTAGGGTATATTCCAAGGAGTGGGATTGCTGGATCATATGGTACTTCTATTTCTAGCTTTTTAAGGATGTGCCAAATCATTTTCCAAAGTGGCTGTACCATTTTACATTCCCACCAGCAGTGTATAAGTGTTCCAGTCTCTCCACAACCTCTCCAACATTTATTATTTTGTGTTTTTTGTATTAGTGCCAGCCTTGTTGGGGTGAGATGGTATCTCATTGTAGTTTTTATTTGCATTTCTCTAATGGTTAATGAGCACGAGCATTTCCTCATGTATCTGTTAGCTGCCTGAATGTCTTCTTTGGTGAAGTGCCTGTTCATATCCTCTGCCTATTTTTTAATTATTTGTCTTTTTGTTGTTGAGTTGTTGCAGTATCTTGTAGATTTTAGAGATTAGACGCTGATCGGATTTGTCATAGCCAAAAATTTCTTCCCAGTCTGTAGGTTGTCTTTTTACCCTTTTGGTGAAGTCTTTTGTGAGTGTAAGTGCTTGATTTTTAGGAGCTCCCAGTTATCTAGTTTCTCTTCTGGTGTTTACGCATTGTTAGTCATGGTTTGTATTCTGTTTATGCCATGTATTAGGGCTCCTAGTGTTGTCCCTATTTTTTCTTCCATGATATTTATTGTTTTAGATTTTATATTTAGGTCTTTGATTCATTTTGAGTTAGCTTTTGTACATGGTGTGAGGTATGGGTCTTGTTTCACTTTTTTGCAGATGGATATCAAGTTACGCCAGCAGCATTTGTTAAAGAGACTGTCTTTTCCCCATTTAATGGACTTCGCACCTTTGTCAAATATCAGCTGCTCGTAGGTGGATAAATTTACATCTGAGTTCTTAATTCTGTTCCACTGGTCTATGTATCTGTTGTTGTACCAGTACCAGGCTGTTTTGACTACCATGGCGGTATAATAGGTTCTAAAATCAGGTAGTGTGAGGCCTCCCACTTTGTTCTTCTTCTTCAGTAATGCTTTACTTATCCAGGGCCTCTTCCCTTTCCATATGAAGTTGGTGATTTGTTTGTCTATCTTGTTAAAAAATGTCATTGGAATTTGGATCGGGATTGCACTGTATCTGTAGATCACTTTGAGTAGTATTGACATTTTCACAATGTTGAGTCTTCCTATCCATGAGTATGATATGTTTTTCCACATGTGTAGGTCTCTTTTTGTTGCTTACAGTAGTGTCTTGTAGTTTTCTTTGTATAGGTCTTTTATGTCTCTGGTTAGGTTTATTCCTAAGTGCTTTATCTTCTTGGGGGCTATTATAAATGGTATTGATTTGGTGATTTCGCCTTTGAAGTTCTCTTTGTTGATGTAGAGGAATCCAACTGATTTTCGTCTGTTTATCTTGTATCCTGATACTTTACTAAATGTTCTATTAGTTCCAGTAGTTTTGTTGTGAATTCTTTGGGGTTTTCTGTGTATAAGATCATATCATCTGCGAATAAGGATGCTTTTACTTCCTTCTTACCAATTTGGGTGCCCATTATTTCTTTTTTTTTTTTTTTGCCTTAATGCTTTGGCCAAGACCCCCAGCACAATGTTGAATGAGAGTGGTGATAAAGGGCATCCTTATCTGGTTCCCAATCTCAAGGGTAATGCTTTCAGACTCTCTCTGTTTAGAACAATGTTGACTGTTGGCCTTGTAAAAATGCCCTTTATTATGTTGAGGAATTTCCTTTCTATTCCTATTTTGCTGAGAGTTTTTATCAGGAATGGGTGTTGGACTTTGTCAAATGCCTTTTCTGCATCAATTGATAAGATCATATGGTTCTTGTCTTTTGTTTTATTTATGTGATGGATTACACTGATTGTTTTTCTAATGTTGAACCATCCCTGCATACCTGCTATGAATCTTACTTGATCATGATGAATTATTTTTTTGATATGTTGTTGAATTCTATCGGCTAAAATTTTGTTGAGTATTTTTGCATCAATGTTCATGAGGGATATTGGTCTGTAATTTTGTTTTTTTGTGGTGTCTTTACCTGGCTTTGGTATTAGGGTTATGCTGGTGTGTTAGTTATCTGCTGCTGCTATAACAGAAATACCACAGGTGGATGGCTTTAACAAAGAGAAATTTATTTTCTCACAGTCTAGTAGGTTAGAAGTCCAAATTCAGGGCGTCAGCTCCAGGCCAAGGCTTTCTCTCTCTGTCGACTCTGGAGGAATGTCCTTCTGATCAGTCTTCCCCTGGACTAGGAGCTTCTCCACGCAGGAACCTGGGTCCAAAGGACGAGCCCTGTTCCTGGCACTGCTTTCTTGGTGGTATGAGGTTCCCTGCTCTCTTCTCACTTCCCTTTCCTTCTTTCCTTTTATCTCTTGTAAGGTAAAAGGTGGTGCAGGCCACACCCCCAGGGAAACTCCATTTACATTGGATCAGGGACCTAAGCAAGGGTGTTACATCCCATCCTAATCCTCTTTAACATAATCTAATCTTGCCTCATTAACCACAGGCAGAGATTAGGATTTACAACACATAGGAAAATCACACCAGCTGACAAGATGGAGGACACTCACACAATACTAGGAATCGTGGCCTAGCCAAATTAATACATATTTTTTGGGGACACAATTCAATCCATGACAGCTGGCTTCATAGAATCAGTTTGGGAGTGTTCCTTCTTTTCTATGTCAAGCATACATTCTTAATCTCTCTACCTCAGTTTCCTCATCTATTAAAATGGGAAAAATAATAGTAGCTACCTCACAGGATTACTAGGAGGATTGAATGAGTTCTTATTTTCAAAACACTTACAAAAATAATGGCACATGGAGCCACTATATAAGGTTTGCTATTCTTATTAATGGGGTCCCTGGGTGATGCAAATGGTTAACATGATTGGCTGATAACCAAAAGGTTGGCAATTTGAGTTTACCCAGAGGTGCCTAGGAAGAAAGGCCTGGCAGTATGCTTCTGAAAAATCAACCATTGAAAACCCTATGGAACACAGTTTTACTTTGACATACATGGAGTCACCATGAGTCAGATTTGACCTGATGGCAACTTTCTTTTTTTTTTAAATTTTTATTAGTGATAAAAATATAAGTTTAAATCCTGACCTTAACACATACTGGCTGTGTGACCCTGGGCAAGTAATTAATCTCTTTATAAAAGAGGTAACAATTGCACCAACCTCCTGGGCTTGTTGGAGGATTAAATGAGATAAAGCCCATAAAGTACTTAGCACACTGCCCGGTGCTTAGGAAGCATGCAGTAAATGGTGGTGGTTATTATGAGATTACAACAGGTCAGCTCTGAAATTTGAGAGTCCTCTCCCCAGTTCCTACAGTGAGTGCTACAGCCCAGGCTGCTTGACTATAGGCCTTTAGGCTTAGCCTTCCCTGGGGGCCCACAATTACCAGCTGCATCGACTCTATTTCCAGGACTTTTGACCATTTTGATGGTTCAGCTGGGCCTGACGAGCTCTTGAGCATAACATGTTTTATGGTCTGAGTGTTTGAAAGACGGGCGTTCACTGCCTGCCTGTTCTCCTCTCCCAACTTCCCTTGGCAGCTTCCTCCAATTCTGTGACAACATACGAAACCTGCCAGACCTATGAGCGCCCCATCGCCTTCACCTCCAGGTCAAAGAAGCTGTGGATTCAGTTCAAGTCAAATGAAGGGAACAGTGCCAGAGGGTTCCAGGTGCCATATGTGACGTACGATGGTAAGCGCTGTGAAGTTCAGGCTGCAGCTTGTGGAAGGAGTTTCTCTGCTTTGAACAGAACCAACTTCTGAGCCAGCTGGCAAATTGCTGACAACACACATGCTCAGAGAGGCAGGCAGGATGAGAGGAAGAGACATCGCTGACTCACAAGTGACAAATTTTAAACGAGCATTTGGGGACACTGACTACAGGGCGGAAAAGATATTTTATAGAATAAATAAAAGTGAGCAAAGCTTAGTGGGTAAGAGCATGGACATCGGAGTCAGGGGGTCTGGGAATAATCTCTTTTGTGACTTCGTGTATGTCATTCACCATCTCTAAGCCCCATTTTCCTCATCTATGAATAAGGATGATCATTAGACTTAAAATGAGAATTCAGTGGGACAGTCCCCGTAAAGCACTTGGTGCAGTGCCTGGCACATAGTAATTGATCAATAAATATTAACTTGCTACAATTATGACTTTTATTATATGGAGTTCTAAGGGGGGTGGGAAGACCTAAGTTCTGGTCCTGGTTTTGCCACTAGCTTGCTGTGTGACCTTGGGCAAGTCAGATGACTTCTATGGTTCCATTTTGTTTAGAGCCCTGGGGCCCTATCCAGCTCTGAAACTTGGTCAACAAACGTTTACTAATAAACAAAATTAGCTGGACCTTGCCCTTGAGAACCTCACAGTCTAGTGAGGGAATAGTCTGTTCATTTATGAATTTATTCATTCATCCATACTTAATGAGCATCTACTCTGCCAGGCATTGGGCTAGGTGCTGGAGACAACATGGTGAGCGGCAGAGACACAAAAACATACATGTTGTCATAGATGCTATGGGGGGTATGTACAAAGCACTATGTAAGTATAGAAGAGGACAGTGGTTAACTGCATGGATTTTTGGAAGGAGTAGAGCAAAGTCTCTAAAGCATTTGAGTCTTGAAGAAAAATATTAAAGATTTCTGGGCAGAAATGGGAGAAAGAGCATTCAGGAAGAGGGAATGACATAGGCCAAAGAATGGAAGCTTGAGAGGAGCTGGGATGTGTGGGGACCGATGAATAGTCTAGTTTCACCAGTGGCTAAGGGGAGTGGAGCTTAGCAGTGAGAGATGAGACTAGAGGGGGGTGGGGTTAGGCCATAAAGAGCCTTGAATGCCAAGCTCAGAGAGTAGACTTAATCTCATAGGGAGCCATTGAAAGTTTTTAGGCAGACAAGTGCCAGAATTAGATGTGTTGGAAAGAAAACATTCTGTGGCTTTCCTAAAAACATTTCACATAGTTTGTTTCCACCATGTGACATCAGCATCCCTGTCCAGCAGTTGCCTGAGATGATGCCAAACACCCAAGACAAGAGATCTTAGTATCAGACTCATAAAGTAGACACAAATGCCTCCCTCAGGGCTTTACGGAGAGAGACAGAGCACTTCATCTACCTGAAAGCAGCTAACAGGCAATCGCCCTTATCTGGAGTCAGGAACTAGACCAAGAAGACCCTGAGACTCTGGAATAAATGTCACCAAACCTCACACACTTGAGTCTAGCTCTTCTCAACTCTGCCTTTGTGATACGCAAAAAAAATCTTGATTTTTTTTTTTAAATTCAAAAAAAGAGTTGTAGCTTGAACCAGGGGAAATTACATGTAATGCTGGCTGAGCTCACGAATGTATGTCTTTCATGTGATACAACAGAAAATAGTTGAAAAGTGCTGCTTTGGCCAGACAGAAACCTGCTAGGTCTTCATTCAGAGTTCATTTAATCTTTTACTTATTTATTTTTTTTAACATATGTTTCAAATGAGTTTGACATCTGGTTTCCAAGCCCAGAAGAATAGAAATCACAATTAGAAGGGGCAGGGGAGGCTGCTATGGAAGAGCCTACTGGCTGCTGGAGAATGATGAGAACTGAAGTTGTGGCTAATGTTTATTGAGCATTGCTGTGTACCAGGTACATGCTAAGTGCCTTTTACATGGCACTTTCCTCACAATCACCCCATGATGTAGACATGGTTATTTCCTCATTTTATAGATGAGGCCATGCAGGCTTAGAGATTTAAGTAATAGGCCTAAGGTCACACCCTGACGAAACTGCAGAGCTGGGATTGGCCCAGGTCTTTGGGACGCCAGAGCCTGAGTTCTTAACTATGACACTTCACTGCTGTTCCAATGACAGTTACAGCGAGCAGTCAGTAGTTATTTATTTATTTTTATTTTTATTTTTTTTTATTGTTATAATTAAATGAAGTTTACATTTCAAGGTAGTCTGCCATACAAAAAAAAATTTTTTTTTTTGCGTACATTGTTATGAGACCCTAATTGCTCACCCCATTCTGCAACACCACACTCCTCCTTTCTGCCCCTGATTCCGCATGACCATTCAACCCACTCCTAACTCTCTCTGCCTTCCCATCTCACCTCTGGACAGAAGCTGCCGCTTTGGTCTCTTGTATCTACTTGACTCAGAGGCACACTCTTCACGAGTATCACTTTACGTCCCACAGTCCAGTCCAATCCCTGTCTGAAGAGTTGGCCTCAGAAATTGTTTTAGTTCTGGGCTTATAGAGAGTCCAGGGGCCATGCCTTCCGGGGCACCTCCAGTCTTAGACCATTAAGCCTAGTCTTCTTACTAGAATTTGAGTTCTGCACCCCATCCTTCTACTGCTCCATCAGGGACCCTCTGTTGTGTTCCCGAGTCAGTAGTTCTTAAAAGCAGAGGAAATATTTTTAACAGAGAGCAGTCTACAAACATTTGGTATAGTGGTAAATAGCCCTCCAGTTCTCTAATACAGCAGAACACAGAAATGCAGCTGACATTTCTAATGGGAAACGTTCCATCTTCAAAAAGGAGCGAATTCCCTGTGTAGAGACACTGCAGCAGAAGGATTCAAGATAAAACACTTGTACTCTTACTTATATTTTATATTCACTAAAAGTATAAGAAGAAAGATACCACAATGATAGAGCACCAGTGATATTGTACACCTCACCTACTAAATTAGTAATTTTGAGTATTATACTATTAATTTCCATTTACCATCTCTTGATTGAGAGAAGCTTTTCAAGATTCCCCTCTCTCCTCACACACACAGTTTCAATGATGTTTTTATAATTTGTTTGGTGTTGTTGCACATGATATACATACAAAGAGACATTTTTTTCTGTGTCTGAAATTTGGAAAAGACTGTTCTGCATATACTTGATTTGAACTATGACTAGAGAATATACTAGAGTTTAAAAAGAGAAGTATTTACATTTGGAGAGGGATTACTGTGTGCACCGCCTATAATGTGTATGACAGTACCAAAACTTGTGAACATAGCTTTCTTCCCCCAACCAGCCAAAGAGAATTCTAGAGTTACTAGCCTGATTCTCCCCCTACTTCCCTACCCCCACCCAGCCCCATTCATAAAAAGAAGGAGGGAACAGAGAAAAAAAGAGGGGAGAGGAGGGAGGGGAGAAAAGGGGAAGAAAGAATAGCCGTGAGTCTAGATGAGCTCAACCAGGGAATGACCAAGGACTGAGCCCTGGAACCTTCATGCAATAGGAGGAGGAGGAAAAGCAAAGGAGCCTCAAAGGGAGCAACCAGTAAGGTAGGAGAACCAAAGGGTGGTGTATCCTGGAAGCTGAGTGAGGAGATGTATCAAGGAGGAGGGGTGACCATCCAGGTTAAATGCTACTGATGAATGAGGACTGAAAGTCGACCATTGGGATTTAGCAACATGAAGGTCATTGGTAACCTTGACAAGCAGTTTTGGAAGAGGGGTGGGGACCAAAGCTAATTGGACTGGGTTTAGGAGAGAAAGGAAGGAGAGGAATTGGAGACTGTGGGTGTTAACGATTCTTTGGAGGAGTTTTTCTAAAAAGGAGCAGAGAAGTGGGGCAGAAGCTGAAGGAGAAAGTGCGGTCAAGAGAGGGATTTTTTACAATCAGAGAGATGACAGCATGTTTGCATGCTGATGGGAAAGACCAGGAGAGAGGAAAAATTTTATCATGTAGCAAAGAAAGGGAAGAATTACTGAAACAATGCCCTTGATTTGGTGACAGAAGGTCGTGAACAAAGTGGAGGGATTGGCCTTGACTGGATTCACAAAGGGTTCATCTAAGGGAACAGTCGAAAGGCGAGTGCAGTTGCTGGTTAGGTGAGTGGAAGTAGTGTGGGAATCTGTGGGAGTTCTCACCCAAATGTGTCTCAGAATCAGAGTGGAATTGTTTTGATAGCTGCTACAGAAGGGGCATTCCTCATAACCTTATCAAAAATGAAGAAAAGAGTGAGTTTGGAAATAACTAAGCCATAAAGTTGCAAAATGATATGTCCTTTATTCCAACAGAGGACTACCAGGAACTCATTGAAGACATTGTTCGAGATGGCAGGCTCTATGCATCTGAGAATCATCAGGAAATACTTAAGGTAAGTAAGTTCCTAAGGTGGACACAGAGGCTATCCACAGTGTTCCCCCGGCACTATTGGAGGAAGGTTTTCCTCTTGTTCCATATTGTTGCTTTCAGACACCAAGCTTGCTTGGGCCGAGGTCAGTTTTATATTGTTACCAGACTTAATTTTTTTTTTTTTTTATCTGATGGTTGTCCTTAGTGCTGTCAAATGAATTTGCTTTTTCTTTAAATTTGGAAATTTGTCAGAAAAAAACTTGCTTATAAATCCAAGTGAAAGGCAAATAATATTTTCATATTAATTCCAAATAGTTGAGGATCTTTGGCTTCTTATTTATCCCCCAAGCCCAAAGTTCACCAAATTTTAGAAATTTACAAGTAATTAGCAATAAACATTTGCCATATCACTAAAACAAAACACACAAACCAAAAAGAAACCCAGTTGCTGTTGAATCGATTCTGACTCATGAAGACCCCATGTGTTGCACAGTAGAACTGTGGTCCATAGGGTTTTCAAGGCTGCAACCTTTCAGAAGCAGATCACTAGGCCTTTTTTCCAAGGTGTCTCTGAGCGAGTTTGAACCACCAACCTTTTGGTTAGTAGCCAAGCACTTAACCATCTGCACCACCTAGAGACTTCTCTACCATATCACTAACCCTATAAATATTTCAAAAATCCCAATGTTACATCTCATCTGGCTGAGAAAAAGAAAACAGTTTTTTTTTAATATATTAAATTTTCCTTTGCAAAAGTAACATATTTATCGTAGATAATTAGGAAAAAAATAAAAACTGGAAAGAAAACAAAAATCAGAGGAAACAATTTTCACAAAGTGTTTTTCAGCTCATCAACCTACTGTGTAACACTAGGTCATTATAGTTCCATTGGCAAAATGTCAGAATGTTTAAATATTTTGGCCCAGTAACAAAAATTCTGTTCTCTTTAGGATAAGAAACTGATCAAGGCTCTGTTTGATGTCCTGGCCCACCCCCAGAATTATTTCAAGTACACAGCCCAAGAGTCCCGAGAGATGTTTCCAAGATCCTTCATCCGATTGCTACGTTCCAAAGTGTCCAGGTTTTTGAGGCCTTACAAATGACTGCCACATGCCATTTGGTACAAATGTTCCACCTGTGGGCTTGGTGGAACAGAGCTGTCTGCCTCTGTATGCCAGCACATAGTTGGATAGTGCTGCCTCCAGTATCAATGACTCATTAGAGTTCAATTTTTATAGATAATACAGATATTTTGGTAAATTGAAGTTGGTTTTTCTTTCCCAGGTTGTGGATGTGGACTGAGAATGGCTTTGAGTTGCACCCACTTCTCATTGCAGTGGGTAGATCTTCTGGACACAGCAAGGGCTGGCTGAGCTGGGCTTGAGTCAGCTCAGGTGAGACTCAACTTGTCCTTCATGGTTCTCACTCCTCCTCGAGGGAGCTGTGGTGGAAAGGAGGCCACAGAAGGGACTACCTTATTGTCTGCAACTTTAGCTTTCTTCTGCCCAGCTCTCCCTAAGGGAGCCCTCTGAACCCATGTGCAAGCTCTGACCAGGCAGGGCAGGAGGGAAGGCCCTCCAGGTGCCATCCACCCACCCAATACCTGGGAGGACTCCGTTTCTCCAGAGCCTCCTCCAGCCTTTTTGATCCTGAGAGCTTAAGTTCTAAGTAGCGATCATTAAATACTTAAAGCAGAAAGAGTTAGAAATAAAAGATAAACACAAAGCTCTTCTGGAGACATAATAACGTAGACCTATTAACAGCCTTCCTAGGTGCCAGCTTCCATGTGGCAGCAAATGTACAATGCTGGTTTTATCACTTTCAGCTGTGCCTTCAGAACCTGCCTTGGGGCTTGGGGAATTCAAGGCAGATGGGATCTCCTTGGTAGATGAGAATCATCCCTGAGTTCAGGACTACCAAGGGTCCTCCTTCCACCAGGGGTTTTCCCTCAGGTGGGATATGGTGAGGACCAGCCTTTCATGTTTACCTCCTTCCCCACTCTCCAGGGTCAGAGAGTGACTCTGCTCAAAGGAAGTGAGCAGCACTGCTAAGAGTGGTTTTATCCCTTTAATGGGGACACCTAGGGGCAGATTATCCAACAGAGCCAGATCATCTGTAGTGAACAATTTCACATGTTTTCACCACATCAAAGATTCTGCTTCTAGGTATGGCTGGCATCTGTCTCTCTCCCAACCCCATAGCACCTTCTACAGAATCAAAGCCTCTTTTCACTTTTACAATCCCTGACAGGGACGGATTACCCAGAAAGCAGGGTAAGCACGAGTTTACTTGTGCTTACTTACTAATCTCGTAGTGCACAAGTTCACCTGTTTTTCACCACATCAAAAACAGGTGAAACTGTGCACTACAGATTAGTAAGTAAACACAAGTAAGCGTGTGCTTACCTTGCTTAGTGGATAATCCGACCCTGGAGACACCACTGCCAGAAGCAGCTACAAAAGCCAGGTCATTAAGTGCCACAGAATCAGCTCACTTTCAGCTTGCACAGCTGGGCCTCACAGCTATTTTGTCCCACAGGAACGTGAATTTTCAATATTACTGAATTTTTAAAAATTTAAATCCACAGGCAAAAATCTCATTACTGCAAATAAAAAAGAATCCTATAAAACAAACTTTGATTTGTCTAGTGAGTGGACTGACTACCCACAACCATAGTGTTTTGTTATTTCAGTAACACACAATTCTCTACACGATCAATTCTCTACACCAAAGTACTAGAAAAAGTTTAACAAATATTTTTGAAGAAAAAAAAGACTATTTCATTATTGTTAAACTCATTTTTCACCTCAGTGGGTTTTTAAAAGATCTATTAATTATATTGATTTTCAAAAAACCCTAATCAAACTTTTCTTCTTTATTTGGGTGAGTCCTAAATACCCATTCATAGGTTTCTCTTCAAAAGTCTGAACATCTTAATTTAAAAAAAAAAAAAAAATCGTTAGAACAAGCACCTGAAATTTGTTATATGGGAACTTGGCCTGTATTTCTGATTCTAACTATTAGATGAAAATTCGTACGTAACATAACCTGAGCAAGTGACCTGAATGATGTGGAGGTGAGGCAGGCTGAGCCTGTACCATTCTGTCCAAGCACTTAAATAACTGTGTGTGTGACTGAGATTCTATATTGCTGATTTCACAAGAAGGCTAAGAATGAGAATATTCCAGGAGTTGGAAGGAGGCTGCATAAACCCTGGAAGCAACCTCCAGAAGCAGGCCCATGTACCAGAGGTGTGCTCCTAGTACAAGCACAAGCGTCCTGAATCTTCCTCTCTATGTCTGTCAGCCACCCTAAGAGATGCTACAGTTGGTCATGTTAGAAGGCTGGCTGGCTGAGGCCACAGTTGCTACTTGCTAAATAAGTAACATTTATTGAACATTCAGACTGTACCAAGGAACTGTTCTAGGCCCTAGGGATGCACAGTGGTGAGACAGACAAGGTCTCCCCCCTCCTCATGGAGCTTACATTTTAGAGGGAGGGGGCAGACAATAAACAAATAAGTAAACATGAAAAGTATCAGCTAATGATAAGGGCTGTGATGGAAATTAAAATAGTTTTATGTAACAGATGACTTCGTGGCTACTTTAGGCTCAGGGATTGTGGAAGGCCTCTCTGAGGAAATGACACTTAAACCGAAAACTAAATGACAAGAAGGAAACAACCTGGGGAAAATCGGGGGAGAACATTCCAGATAGAGGTAAACAAAGTACAAAGGCTCTCAGGCAGAAACAAGTGTGTGGGTGTACCACAGTCTTGTTGCGAGGGTTAATGGTACAAGATGAAGCTAGAGAACTGGACAGGGGCTAGGTCACGTTGTGCTTTGTAATCCAGAATGAGGGGTTTGGGTTCAATTCTAAAGATGTTGCAAAGGCTTTGAAGAGGTTTAGGCAGAGGAATGAGATGATCTGAGCAGTGTTTTTAAAATATAGCTCTGGCTACTATATGAAGAATGGATTTTAGGAAGCCAGTATGGAAACAGAGCAATTAATAGGCTATTGCAATAGACCAAGCAGTCATCCAGGTAGGAGATGAGAGTCTTGTCTGGGATTCTTGAGGTAGTAGTGGAGATGAGAGAAGTAGAGGGATTCTGGACATGCTTTGGGGGAGAGTCAACAGAACTTGCTGACGACTGGATTTAAGGGGTGAGGGAAAGACAACAATCAAAGATAACTTCTAGTTGCTTCAGCAACTGGTAGATGGAGAAGACTAGAGGAGGAGCAGGTTTGGGACATGAGGCAGTTTTAAAACATGCCATAAATTCTTTGATACTCTTTTCATAGAAAGTTTGGGCCTATGTCTCCTCCTCTTGAGTCTGGACTCTGTAACTTTGTTGTTGTTAGGTGCTGTCGAGTCGGTTCCGACTCACAGCAACCCTGTAGGACAGAGTAGAACTACCCCATAAGGTTTCCAAGGAGCGGCTGGTGGATTTGAACTGCTGACCTTTTGGTCAGCAGCTGAGCTCTTAACCACTGTGCCACCAGGGCTCTGTGACTGCCTGACCAGTATTATACAGCAGAAGTGACATGTTGCCAGTTCCCAGGCCCAATCTTCGGACACTGGCAGTTTCCATTTCCTCTCACTTGGGATACTCACTCTGGGAACTCAATCACCATGCCTTCAGGAAATCATAGTAGCCTGAGAGGTCATGTGGGGAGGAACTGAGGTGCCTTAGGTCTGGCTGAGCACCCATGTGATAGCCAGCAAAACTTGTCAGCTACTTGAGTGAGCCATCTTGGAAATGAATTCTCCAGCTCAAGCTGAGTTGCACTAATTGATGCTTCATGGAGCAATCCAAATTGAGCCCCACCCAAACTGAAGATTGTGAGCAAAATCAGTGGTTATTGTTGTTTTAAGCCACTAGGTTTGGGGGTGGTTTCTTATGCAGTAATAAGAAGCAGGCAAAGGGGAGATGATCAAGAGTTCTTATTTTGGCCATTCTAAGTTGGAGATGCCTATTAGACATCCAAGTGGAGAGTTCAAGCAGACAATTGGTTATTTGAAGCCCCAGGGGAGACCAGGACTGGAATATAAATTTTAGTGTCACAGAATAAAGACATGAGACTGGTTGAGGTCACCTGGGGGAAGTATGTAGACAAAGAAGACAAAGGAGCTCTGAGTTCTGGGCTGCCCTGTGAGCACAGGTACCAGCACTCTGAGGGGCTGCTTACTAAGGAAACAGGAAGAAGTGAGAATTGAGCTTCCATCTTCCACCAAGAGCACTAGTTCTGTGGGTGAACTCTGAATGGGAGTGGAATCTGTACAAGTCCTTCCTTCCAGCTGTGGATATTGTTCTTTAGCCATTTAATAAGTGCTGCATTTGTGGATTCAGCAACATTTCCCTTGAGTTTCCAATGCTAATAAAAGCGCTTTTGCCTTTTCACACTAACGGATGATTATCTTCGCTTGGGAAAACTGCTTCCTCTGTATCATTCTCTGAGCTGTTAAGTGTGTTGTTTGTAGGCACTCACTGGATTTAGGTTTGCGGTGATTTTAAATTGTCATGTGGTAATTTGGGAAAGGTAGTGGAGGCACACCGCAAAGCAAGAACTTGCTTGCCCTCTGGCAGAGTTTGCAGGAAGATACTTCAAGGTGGTTTCCTGCTGCAGACTGCTGTGCCTGGTGGGTCTATGCACTGGGAAGCCCAGAGGCCCATACCAGGCTTAGGCACATCTTCTCAATCCATAAGAGATGGCTCTCACTAGGATTGTCAGTAGCTCTGCTTCCTTCCACCTAGCAGGATGGGTCCTGAGAGACTTACCCAAGTCTATGCCACTCCTAGCCAGGATTTGGGAGGCAAATGGATTTGGTGAGGCTGAAGTAAAGCAGGTCCTCATTGTCAAGGGAGTCTTGTTACCTATGGCCCTTGTGCTAGGCAAGCCATCAGCTACCTCCCAATCCAAGTCCTGGGAAAGACCAGCAGGGGCCTTTCCACAGGAATTAGAGGCCTTGGTAAGCCTTCCTTTCTGTGACCATCTTCTACTCCAGGGGCTTGTGAGTCAGCTCAGGGATGTCCTGAATGTGTGTGGTACCCTGTCTCCTTCCCCCTCCAAGCAGTCCTGTTCAGCCTGAGGGAGACCATCCTCAGGGGTCTGTTGGCCCAGCAACACTGCTCCAGTGACCAGCCTCAGTGATACAGCCACAAAGACATAACTACTCAGCAGGGATGACTTTCCAGAGAACACATAAGGTCAAAATAGATTTAGAAAATGAAGCCACTCTTAATTCACAGTCCAGTTGTTCTAGCTGAATAAAAAAAGATACAAATTAAACCCACCTGCTACAAATAATGATTATAACTCTGCATTGATTGGTTTTCAGAGTATCCCCTGAAGGAAATAACTGTAGACCCAGGACTTTGGACTGGTTCTTTCTGGTTTGAGCCCCTGCTGAGAATTTGCATTTCCACCCCAGATATACTGAATCCGAATCTACATTTTTAACAAGATTCCCAGGAGATTCTTATACATAATAAATTTGGAGAACCACTACTCTACTAGTGGTTCTCAGAATTAGTCCCTAACCAGCAGCATTAGCATCACCTGGGAACTTGTTAGAAATGCAAATTTTCAGCAGGGGTCTGAACCGGAATAAACCAGTTCGAAGCCCTGTATAGACCTTAGTTACTAAAAATTCTTTGTTATACATTTGCTCATTCATTCATTTATGCAACAAATTTTTATTGAAGGCCTACTAAGTGCTAGACATTGTAGGAGCTG